GTTGAGAACCGAGGTCTTAGAACAATGCCTGGCACATTGTTAAGTGCCTAATGAATAAATGCTATTTATAGTGGTGATGTCTTGGCACCTGGAAGGCATGGGAAAACTGGTGGCAGTGCTAAGGAAAAGTCTCCAAAAAGTAGGCCAGAATCCCAAATTAAATTTCATTGATTTCCAAATGTACCAATAGCAGAACACGGGTAATGGTAAAGAGTGAAGTTCTAGAAACAAACTATGAAAAATGTGAAAATTGGCAGCGCCTGTGGCTCAAAGAAGTAGGGCACTAGCCCCCTATGCCGGAGGTGGCGGGTTCGAACCCAGCCCTGGCTAAAAACTGAAAAAAAATAAAAAGTGAAAATTCTGTTCCTTGAGGACGAGAGGCTCTAAAGTTAGGAAGTTAGGCAAGTGGCTTCACTGTGGTTAAGTCAGGGAGAGGGTCCCAGAGAGCCCACACTACAGGGACGAGCAGCCTCTGATGGCTCTCCTCACTCCTCGCCTGTAGCCTGCCCTGGCCACTGAGTTTCCCTGGGGTGCTACTGGGCACAAGACTGAGGGAAAGAAAATAGGTCAGTGCAGACCTACCCAACACTTCAAAACCTGTATTGAGCTAGTGTCTTCACAGCATTATTTCCACATATATAGGGCAGCATCGAGTTTCAGGAGGAGAGGGTGAGGAAGTATCACTTAGTGTTGAAGAAGATACCAGACTAGGAAGGAAGAAAGGGCGAGAAAGACTCGGAACCGGGTAAGCTAATTGGTAGGTCCTGTGAGGACCGTGGGACAAGAGAGTCTTTTGTTCAGCAGAGGAAGTGCTTAATTTTCAGAGATAACAAGATCTCTAAAAAGAGCCACCATGGCTTAGATCCTTCATAGTTTGCAGGGCTTCAGGGGGTACAGGGTCTTAAAAGCGAGCGTGACTCCTGACTTCGTTTAAAATGTGGCACTTTTCCTGAGTGGAATTAGAATTTGCTGGGAGGATGTCCTTATTCCAACCTCCTCAGGCTGACTCAGCACCTCTTGTGACTAGCATTATGCCTGAATTAGCATTTTACTAGTGAGTTGGTGGAGGAAAATGCTATCAGGATCAGGTTTGGCTGTGGGTGAAGGTTAAGTTTTAGCTGTGGTTTAAACATGCTTAGCTTTTATGAAAAAGCAACTCAGCAGGGGTGGTGGTAATAGGCTTCTTCGTGCTCTGCCATCTGAAGTGATCCTCTTGAGGGCCCCACCCCAGTCATCACTTTACTTTCACATTCCCATCAGCAGGAAGAGCAAGGGAAAGACAAAGATGAAGGGCCCATTATCTTTTGAAATGGTGTCCTCGTGGATTGCCTGAGCTTACCAGTTCAAGACCAGCCTGAGCCAGAGCGAGACCCTGTCTCTAAAAATAGCCAGGCGTTGTGGCAGGTGCCTGTAGTCCTAGCTACTTGGGAGGCTGAGGCAAGAGAATCACTTGAGCCC